TTCCTAGAGATTAACCAACCAAAGAAAACGAATTTTTTCCCTTTTGATAATTTGATAACATAATTACTTGACACGATAATTACCCACTTTTGATTTACAAGGTCCAAATGCCACCCAACCTCAAGCAAATCAGATTTTTTCCGGGTAAAAAAACAGATTTATGTCATACAGATGGTAAAGCGACATCAGATTCTGTGGGAAAAATGACTATCCATTGCTCGATCCATTGTTTGATCTAGAATAAGAAGTCTAATTCTGCTTTTAATATTATTAAATGAATGAGTAATTATGTACGTTTGATGTGTGCTTAGTGACAAAATTTTGCATAAATTCCAAACCATGTTTCGGCTAATTAATAAAATAATTATAAATGCTTGAAACACGACCAGAAAAAGCCTTTATTTCGCATTGAAAGCCTCGTGATTTAAATAATATAAACATTTGCGTGGCCGTTTTTCACCCTTCTTCTCGAAGACAAGTAAAGATCTTTCTAACACCCTTGGAATTTCTCTTTGCAATAAATTTGCATCTCTCATCGTAAACCTTGTCGATAATATCGGGTGTAACGTGCGAACGGTAGGTCGAATTTTTCTTCAACAAATCAGAAGTTACGTTTTTGGAAGATTCGTGTTGAGGCATTAGCGTGAAAAAGACTTCATGGAATTATACGAAAGCGGCACGCAATAATGTAGAGGTGGTATTTATGGGGCCTAAACAGCAGGTGCGATGTAATTTCCGTCTAATTCCTAACAAAGAAAATCGAAATGAAAATTAGTTCACAATCGAAAATTTTTAAGGAAATGGAACTCGATTTTGGGGGAAAAAACTAATTTTCTTAGTTTGTTGGTAGGTTTGTGTTTACTGAATTCGGGCGAGATTTTCATTACGACGAATGTCAATAAAATTGTGAATTTCTCGGAAGGAGATATTATTTGATCTATCGGTTTTAGCTTGGAAGAGAACAAAGTTACATTGTTATGTATGGGACTTGTTCGATAGTGACACTTTAAAGACAACCTTTATCGGGTTCACAATTTAATACAAAACGAAAGTTAAATAAATTGCACTGTATTGTACTTTATTAAGGACAAATATTTGAGGGAGGTGAAACTTTTTATTTTAATTAAAAGTGAGAGTGTAATTTTTCTCGGTTAATCATAAAACTGTGTCAACACTGCTAATCATGCTAATTTCGTCGGAACTAATGGTGTGTAGTTTATATAACTTTCGGTAGAACTTGTTAAAAAATAAAGAGATCATAATTATTCACGTTTTCCTCATTTCTCTAATGAAGCGGTAATTATATTCAAATAATAAGATTTGTGTTTGACCACAGCTTTTTATTACTTTTAGTACTTTGAGTTATATATTTTCATAAGTCGCAAACTAGTGGCACCACATTTGGCACTTACCCCAACTCTACAAATGTTGACAAATTGTTGTAATACACTTGGTGGAGCTTTTTATGTTACAATTTCTACAATGAATGAATTTTTTTGTTTAGTGTAACGTGTTTATTTTTTCTTGTAGATTGGTGTTGTGTATGTAAAATAGGCTCAACTTGGTCTTAAGCACGTTTTTATTCATTTGCAGCTTGAAATAAAAAGTTACGATTATTCTTGTTGTGCAGAAAATAAAACGTTATTATTGCAAACGGCGTCTTATTTCTTCCCCGATATAAAATTAAAACAATCTCACGTCGCTTCACAAATAACGTCATTGTAGTTATTGTGTGGCATCAGGTGTTCGATTTTAATCGTGATATTTCACGGTCCATAAAATTGCAAAAATGGAAAGATATATCTTTTTGTCTCGCTGTTCCCTAAACCTAATCGGCGAATTTCTGCCGGAAAATGCTAACAAACCCGTATCGATTCGTGAATAAATGTATTATGAAAAACAACCTTGAAATATTATTTAATCCCGATTTCGGTGGAGTTTGAGTCGAGTCAATTAAATTTGGGGCCGTTGGGGCGTCGCGTTTAAACACCTGAAATATTTATACAAAGCGCAAAATTTTGAAGATGTGGCAAACGTATCTGGAAAGCAGTTTGTGTTCGACTGAAAGAGAAATTGGGGTAAAATTGAATACCAGTAATTTGGCGATGAACAAATTCAATTCCACATGTTCTTTCGTAGCGGCTTATTTTTCCTTTTCTCGTTTCGAGACTCGCTTGATATTTTTATTTATTAGGCATGTATCAGGGCTGGAAAAAAATCCTCTCTTGCAACGATATCACTAAACTGTGAAAGAACATTTATTTTTACGTTTTGCAATTCAACAGTTTATCTAGTGACATTTCCTTGGAAGTTAATTTTGTAAATGGCATATCTCTGTTCGTGTTACAGCGAAATCCAGTTGTTCTACATGGTTTATTATTATTCTCGGGGAGTAATCTCGAAGAAAGCTCTTTTTACACTTGCAACCCAATGCAACCAATACAACACAATTTTCATAATTTCGGCTCTGGTTAAATGTGAATTTAACGAACGCAAGCAAAACTGGAATTGTATCCTTATAATTGGATTTTTTACGCTGAAATAAAAGTCTTTGCTAAACTTGTACACATCAAAGCATAATTAAATCAGAGTGGGGCTGTGCATTTCATACGCATACAAATGGATCACTTTTAAAGTTTTTTATAGCCGCTTCCAGGACTATAATTTAATAGATCCACCTCAAATAATTATCTGCCTCGTGAAAATACACCGGGGTTTAATTTGCCTTTTGTGCATTTTTTCGAGTTATCTCTTGTCATCTCACGTTAATTTTCCCCCTTGTTTACATGTCTTATTTGGTTGCTTGTCCGGTCGAGTTAAGCTAAGAGATTTAATGGTAGATTTTGCTGCTTCCTTCGATTATTGCTGCCAACACATGCTGTCAGTTTGTTTATTCGTGTCTACTTCCCGTTTTGTCTAGAAGGGGTGTGAAATTTAAAACTACCCTCACAGTTTCTGCACTTGCAGTGGTTGAATTTTTTTGCCCCATTGCATCTTTGTAATTAAACAAACTGTTTACATTATTGATTAATACATCCGGTTTGCTGGCTCTGTTATTTTAAACTGTGAATTGTTCCCGAAATACGACTTCCGAAAACAGACGTGAAATGTTTCCGGTGTCGAACATAATAATTAATTAGTCGACTCTAGCATGTGCTACTAATAGATTCGTATTTACGTTACTTAACTCCACAATTGACTCTTCACGAACTTCCGTAACCTAATTAGAATTTTTTATACAATGCTTTATGAATTCGGAAACAATAAGGACAAGGTAAAAAGCATCTAAAAGGATTTCGAAAACAAAGGATCTAGTTAAAAGCTATTGTATGGCAAAGGGAAGAAAGCTTTCTTTTCGACCGCTTTGTTTTCGAGCTGTTATGTGATTATGTATGTAGTGTCATGTCATTCACAGCTTTTATGAACAATTTTTTTATACATGAATTATTATTCTAGTGCCGTTTATGCGGTTAATAAATTCATTTAAATTAATTACCCACGAATATATTTTTTTATTTCACTTTAAAACAGCAAGTTTTAAAACACATTTATCGATCCATTTTCTCATACGCTCACTGAGTCTGAACGATAATTGAAGCAGACATGTTACTAATGAAGTGGAATTTTATCAGTGTTAGCTTTAAGTCACCAAGAATATTCATTTAACTGAGCTTCCATAGTACTACTTGTAACAAAAAACTTGAGCGAATTCAGAAAATACACTTTGTTTTTATACAAAGCTAGAGTTAATCCAGCTCTCATGTTTTGAATAACAAGTTATGTTCAACTTATGTCAAAATTCACAAGCATATTTTCATATACATGCAAATTTAGACTTTAAGCACATCCAAGCTTTTGCAAACATTTTAACAAACAATGTTCTATATAACTTTAAAAATTTGTGCACTATGGCTTTTAATACAGGATTAAAAGTTGTTAAGATACAAAATTTTACCTACTTGATGTTTTAATATTTTACGATAAAAAAGCTCTTATACCTTTATGCTTTGTTCTTATGCTTATGCTCTCTTATTTGCTCTTATGCGCTCATGCTCTCTTATTATGCTTACAACGTACATGTTTTAAAGTTCGCGCTCTTATGCGCCCGCCATCTTTTATTGTTTATTTGAATTAGTATTTGAAATTAAATTAGGGAAAAATTGACGACTTTATAGCGGTGTTCGAACCCCGGACCTACCTGCATTTTTAGACTGCTTGAAGTGTAATTTTAAAGTTTTTCTTTTTTGGATTTTTGACAAAATTTTGGTCGATTTATGGTACCCGGAGCGGTCTATTGCCAATAACGCCGAAATTATTAGCGTTTAGTACCGTTCGAAACCACTTCTAATTTCCTATCTTATGAAAAAAACATTATTGCCCTACGACATATAGTTATTCAGCAAATCGCTGGTAAAGATAAAAATGGCAAAAATATTAATTCGACAATAACTTCTAAACTATCAAGAATTTTGCGGTTTTTTCGACACTAATCGCTCTCCGGAACATTTTACATAGGTAAAGTACAGAACATAAACCGTTTTCAATATACTTTGGCCGGAATTAACAAAATAAAAACGAGTGAAATTTTTTGAATGGCCTTTTGTGAACATGTATCAGATTCTACTTAATTTTCTATTTCTTTGAAACGTCACCCTTCATCGCGATTTATTCATATTTTAGCAAACTTCACTCTGTTTATTTTAACTCTACGAGCAGGTACGTTTAAATTGACGTATTTATACAAAATGCGGGAGTTTGTACGACTTATTTAAATATACAAGACTTGAATTAACATCGAATGAAAAGAACAAGATATTTAAGTTAAAAATTATATAGTTCAAACACATAAAAATTGTACCACTTCCTTCTGTCAACAATCGCTTTCTATCACCTACTGGTTGTTTACCTACGCAACTGCATGACCACTGTGTGAAAAATTAATATGTCTTAATGAATTCTGGTTTTGACATTTTTCTAACAACATTTTTTTCGTTTTTCAGACAACAGATGAAGAAGTTTACCTTCAACCTAGACGATATGCCAACCTTGACGCACCGAAGTAAGTTAAAGGTAATAAAAGCCACATTACGGAAATTTTTTGAATTAATCGTAGAGTTTGCTAAACTTTTTGTTATTAGTTATAAAGCCCTCACAAAAGCAGCTCGAAACGTTCTGTAGTACAATGTTTTTGTCAAATACATTGCGTAGGCAAGGGAGAAATGAAATAAGTTAATTATAAGTTGCGAAGCACATTTTGTTTGTAAATATCACCGAATTACAACTTCTACGTGTAGGGTATCAGTGTCAAGTTACTCCCTGTACTCCTTGTTAAGTTTGGTAATATTTCTTGTTTTCTGTTTCTCAAAGATGAAGCCCCTACACGAGTTGGAGGAGTGTTTGAGAGTTCGGTGCGAAAATTAAATGGGAGGACTGGATTATAAACTGGAGGGTTATTGTCACAACCTTGTTCACAAAATAAACGTCATAATTTAACGTTGTTTTGTAAATTTTGAAAAAAAAACAATTATTTTGAGTGTTAATAAGGATAAAATTTAATTTAATTTTGTATCAATACTACCGGAGGATAACGGCCAATTAAAATGAATTGTTACGAAAAACCGCTTTGTTTTAATTCATAAATCATTCCGTATTGTTTATTTGGCGAATTACGAAGGCGTTAAAACAACGCAATCGTCGATTAACTAACTAAAATAATTTAAAATATGGAAGTTCTATCGTCCGGCTAATTAGACGTCGCATAAATACCCATTAGGCGCCGCTTTTAATTCTGATTAAGTTTGCGTTTTATGGAACGCATGCGCTTACGTTATGTTATTTTACGAGCGGTTACCTAACCTGTGTGGACCACAGTCTGTGATTACAACTATTACGGCTACATTACATGGCTAGATTACATTTGGGATGTGTTTAAGCTCTGGTGACATGAGCGACATTCAAATTAGCTCTGATTAGGCTAATACCAGTTGCACTTTGGTGCACACAATTAACTTCATACATTTTTTTCATGAGTAAACGGGGCATTATCTATGGAATTGTAAATCTAAAAAAGGGTTTTAGAATATTTATGTCAGATGAAATGTTTAGTACCGCAAGGCGAGGCTAAATGTTTGCCTAATAGCTATTATTATTAATTGGGGAGGAAATAAAGCGGGTTAAGGCAAGTTTCGTTTTTAATGAAAAAGGGTTGTGCCAGGTTTACCAAAAATTTAATAATTTAAGACCGACCCGGATAAGTGCTTGTGGTCAGCGAGTCTTCAGACTTGGATCTAATCAAAGCTCCCTTAATAAAATCACTCTCCACATTAATAAGTTACAAAATTGTGAGTTGTAGAATAAGCTTTATCACTCCATTAACTTCCCTGACCTGTACCCAGGGGCAGATTTTGTTTGTTTACGTTTCAAGTTTCCATCCGAGTAAAATTGTGATCTTGTGTTCACTGACCCTTGAAAATTATTGCAGACATGTCCAGTCAACTCAATTAAAACTTGAGATAATGCTTATTCGTGTAAATCAATTAAGAGATGACCGAAAATCGTATAAAATTCATGGAAATTACTCACAATTAATTAGCTCGTTTGTCGACATTGTAAAAATTTAAAGTGGAGTTTTACCTAGAACCACTATAGTTTTCTACAATTTTAATTAGGTGTGGAAATAAAAATTGTATTGGGCAGTAAATCCGACGCTACATAAACACCTCTTTCGTAAGAAGTTTATGCAAAAGTTTATGTCTAAACCACGTCATTGTTTATATTAGCTCCAGTATTTTTCTAAATTGTGTACTCTCGGTAATTCCATAAATTTTTCTCCAGTTATCGTCCTCTTGCCTTAATCGCGTCCTCTTGCAGTGAAGTTGTAATTTTTGTTCCACCCTTGTCTCATGTAAATTCCTTGGTGTGTAGTGCCCTAGTTGCTCGCGATGCCTGGGAATTTATCGTTATTGCTGCTAACCCTTTCATGACCCCTTGGTAATTCAGAGAGAGCGGCCAGCTTTAGATACCTGTTTTCTTCAAGTTCTTTAAGCTCGACTCCGTGTTGGATTCCCGCGATAGTCACGCTTCGACCCAATTCGCCCTCTTTGTCTTAAAAGGATTTCCTCCTTATCAAACGGCGCAACTCTGAAATAAATACTTTTGCAAAACTGTCATCTTTTCACATACACAAAGGGAAGCCATAAGCTTCAGTGACATTCAAAATCTGAATTTGACTGCTGGCAAATACTCTACTGGAACTTTGGCATGAATATTGCAGATTTAATTTAACCTCGTACGATTTAATTAGGGGTTAAGAGATGCTTTGCGTTTGATTAAGAGAACGATGTTTGATTCGCTTTTACTCTGATTTATCTCTACCTCTAACAAAGGAGGCTTCGAACCGAGAGGACGTGACGAGAAACATATTTTTAACACTTGGATAAAGAGGAAATCTCATAATTACCATAATTATCAAAAGTTATAAATACAGATAAATGGAATAAAAAGTGTCAATTAAGCTTGACTTTGATTCAGCTTTTAAAAATAATTAGTTTGCCTCCAACGCTTACATTAAAACTTTGCTGAGATGAAAAATCAATTTGCGAGTCACAAGGGATTCGCAAATAATCGAATTTTTTTCTCGACTAAAATATTCAACAATAAATGTGTGGTTTGAAATTAGTAATTGAATTATTGATTGGAAATTTTAAGGGACCAAGTAGAAAATTGTCTATCGTTTCGTCGAGGTTTATTTTATTTACCCTTTAATTAAATTTAGAAAACCAGTAATTGGTTGAAAACTCTGAAGGATTTAAAGAACTTAATTAACCTGGACACAATAAACTAGAAGCTCAATTTATCACATGTGGGATTTTGTTTTTCCGGAATCTATAGGATTTTACATAATCGTTTAATTGCTTTAAAGTTGGAAAATATTTCCTACTGTTTAAATTAAACCTGAATTTTATTTTTATCTTTGAATTATTGATACTAAAGTCCGTTTCGATTAAATTTAAAACAAGCGAATCGTAGAGAAATTTATGTCAGTTGTATAGTTTAACAAGTTTAAAACTGTGCACTTAAATTCTTAACTAAGTTGTTTGCCCAAACTTATCGAGTTTGAGAGAATTTCATATCCAGACAATCACATCTGACTGCAGTAACTTATCAGAATATATCAGTCCTAGTTTGAAACTTACCATTTACAACTAAAAAGTATTTTTCTTAAACCCGCACACAATTACAGTTTGACACGATTCATAAATAATTCCTTAATGATGAAATGTGAAAATCTGCAATATTGGAGCACTATTGGTTAAAATGTTGGGCTTAATGGCCTCATCAATTATGATATCTAGTGCCTAGGTTGAAACCAACCGTTTTGCCTTATTAACGGGTAAAAAGCGCTGACTTGCATACGCAACTATTAAATGTGAGTGGTGGTGGGGGGAGGCGCGTTTGATTGACAATTGTGTATTGTTTTTTGGCAGATCTCATAACGAATTGGATCGTAAAAAACAATGAATTTTCTTTCTGCATATAAATATGAATGAATGTGTAATGATATTGTATTTTTTGCGGTGTGGGAAAGTCAAAGGGGATTTGAAATGCGAAACGGCTTGTTGTAATACAAGGGATTTGCTTGTAGGTTGTCGTATCAAGTCTTGTAAATAATTGCGACCAATCATGCAGAAAAAGATAACGACTTTTTAAAATGTATGTTTACAGTGATGGCCTCGTTTCTTTGACATGGCGTTCTTGGCTTTATCTTCATACATTTTAAATTATGAATGATGGTATCTACAAATGAATAGATGGTTAATCGCTTACTGCTTTTTTTCTTTTTTGGTACTGATTACGAGAGATAAGGTGTTATAGTCGCCCGTTAAAACAATGACAGAAATTTTGTAACTACAGAGATAAAATCTCTTTGTGTTTTCTCATACATGTGGAGGGTGTTTGAAACGAGGGTGACATTTTTGTTGTGTTGATTAAAACGGGATTGATCGCTTTTGATACCACGCACAAATTTTCTCTTTATCACAAAGTTAGCAAACTTTTACCCAAAACTTCCTTATTATTCAAGTCTTCAGCATAATTATTTTATGCCTTCCAAAGAAATTGGTAATATTGAAAAGTTTGCCTTGTTTGTTCCACTTCTAATTTCTTTTACAGTTTCAATAAGAGGAGTCTGGAACCGCATGAAATAGACTTTATAGAAGAAGTTAATAGAATATTGGAGAATTTTTCTTCGAAAATTGGTAGTGTTGGTTAACTCACGAGCAATTTCAACCGAATGGTTTATTTATGTGACGTAACATGGAACAGCCATTCATATCTTTAAATACCTACATAAACTAGAAAGTAAACGCTAGAACGTGTGGGTTGTTTCATTGATGTGTGGATAATGTATGCACATGTCTGGTTGCTTTTTCAAATACCATACCCGAAAGAGAAAGTTGTTTTCATTGGTAAGGGTCAAGATGGTTTAATGATTTAATTTTGTAAATGTTAAAACAATAAAAATTGCACTCATGGGATACATACAGAGTAAACACTTTCTTAATTAAAACTTCTCAACTTTGTTCACTAACTAGCGTCATAACTCAAAAATTTAATACCTTGTCTGTAAGGAGAAAAAAATCTGTTGAAACAATGGTTATAATGGTCAACCGAGTTGTTTTCTCGAATGTGTTTCATATGTATCCAAGCTTTAATACTATAACTTACTCAGAACATCTAATTAAAACTTTTGTACTTAAAATCTAGGGGAAATTCTGTTTGCATGGAATGAAAAGGCTTTATATCAATGCTTAATTACTTTTTGTTATTGTCGTAATTACACACACCTGAGCAAAATAAAAAGCAAATAAACAAGTCGTCAATTTTGTAATTTACGTGTCGTTTCAACTAATACTTGAAGTTTAAACAATAACGAGACGTGAGGTTCACCGCGGAATTGCAAGCGTTAGCTGTTTTCAAAAACTCCATCACCCCTATGTAACAGCTGCATTCTATTGGACGCAATAAGAATTTTCGTTTCTTCAAGGGAAAGGAAAAATGATCTGGAACTG